CTCTCTCTCTCTCACACACACACACACACACACACACACCCACACTCATACATACACACACTCATACACTCACACACAGACACACACACTCACACACAGACACACACACTCACACACACACCCACACTCATACATACACACACACACACACACACTCATACACTCACACACAGACACACACACTCACACACAGACACACACACTCACACACACACACACACACACACACACACACACACACACTGCAAACATTTAGGAGTGACAATCACATTTAAATACAGGAGTGAATCCTAACTAATAGATCAGTACAACAGCGCTTCTCAAACCAGGAGCCACAGGCTGCCACATAAAAACTATGATAATATAATGTACGTAAAATAGAATGACAACATTAAAACTATGATGTTCATAAAAATGGTGAATAGTAATCAAATTTCACTGCTACCAGCACACTGAAGCGTTTGGATCGGGTGTTCAGCTACGGCTGTGCATAGAACAAAACAGTTATTTCTGAGATACTGTATGCCAAAGATTGTCTTTAATAATGGCTAAAAATAATGCAATGAAATAAACATCATGGAAATAATATTCTGTAAGGATACGTTTTAAAAGAAGGTGTTGCTGGTGGGGATGCTCTGATCTTTTCTGGTCAAAAGGCCTCCTCAAAAGTGTGTTTGTCAAAAATCAGCTCATTTTATGAACACATTTGTTAAAATGATTGTGTTTTTCTCTGGTTTTGAATGCTGGTGAAGCTCCACATGCACTGAACGATTTTTGCTTGAATATTTCATGACCTAATTGATAAAACAACACGACTTTAACACAACCTGACAGCTTCCATAATAAGCATACGATTGTGCATGTAAATGCTCAATTACACTACTGTTCAATTTAATTCAGAAATGCAATAATAATTATCATAATAATATACTTAAATCTGTACAACAGCGCTTCTCAAACTTTGGATGGCAACCCGGCTAATGTTTCAGAAGATTTCTATTTCAAATAAATGCTGTTCTGTTTTAAATTGTAAAAATATTTCACAATTTTACTGTATTTTTGATCAAATAATTGCAGGCGTGGTGAGCAGAAGAGAGTTCCTTCAGAAACATTAAAGTAATCTTACCAGCCAGTCTTTCCCAGTGAGTGTTAATGCATTAAAGTGCAGATTTGTTGTGGTTGCTCTGTGTTTGTTGTAGTATCGTGTACATCATCTCGGCTCCGGCGTCTCCTCTGCTGGGGTTCGTGGTTGATAGGATGGGCAGAAACATCTTGTGGGTCATGCTGGCTGTCGCCTCCACGCTCCTCTCTCACATGATGCTGGCCTTCACCTTCTGGAACCCCTGGATCGCCATGGTAACCGCCAAACTCTTGACCAATCAGCTGTGAGAGCCAGTGTTACAGTAAATAAAGGGCGGAGTGACTGCACACACAATATAAGCTGTCACTTTGAGAGCTGTGTGTTTTCTAATGGGAGTGTTGTGTGTGTGTGTGTGTGTGTGTGTGTACATCATCTCGGCTCCGGCGTCTCCTCTGCTGGGCTTCATGGTTGATAGGACGGGCAGAAACGTCTTATGGGTTATGCTGGCTGTCGCCACCACGCTCCTCTCTCACATGATGCTGGCCTTCACCTTCTGGAACCCCTGGATCGCCATGGTAACCGCCAAACTCTCGACCAATCAGCTGTGAGAGCCAGTGTGACAGTATAACGTATCACTTTGATCAAACGGCTGTGGGAGAGTTGTGTTGTGTGTGTGTGTCAGTGTCTGTTAGGTCTGTCGTATTCTCTGCTGGCCTGTGCTCTCTGGCCCATGGTGGCGTTTGTGGTGCCGGAGCATCAGCTGGGAACCGCATATGGATTGTAAGTCTGATCTGACAACGTCTCCTGATGCTGTTGGTCCAGTAATAACGCTCTGATGTGTTGCACAGTATGCAGTCCATACAGAACCTGGGTCTGGCGCTCATGTCCATGGCTGCGGGAAGCATCTTAGACCTCAAAGGATACCTGTTCCTCGAGGTCTTCTTCATCGCCTGCCTGTGCTGTGAGTAAACACACACATACACTACCAGTCAATAGTTATTGAACAGTAAGATTTTTAATGTTTTTTTAAAGAAGTCTCTTCTGCACACCAAGCCTGCATTTATTTGATCCAAAGTATAGCAAAAACAGTAAAATTTTTACTATTCAATATAACAGTTTTCTATGTGAATATCTGTTAAACTGTAATTTATTTCTGTGATCAAAGCTGTATGTTCAGCATCATTACTCCAGTCTTCAGTGTCACATGATCTTCAGAAATCATTCTAATATGCTGATGTGCTGCTCAAGAAACATTTCTGATTATGTTGAAAACAGCCGAGTAGAATTTTTTCAGGTTTCTTTGAGTAGAAAGTTCAGAAGAACAGCATTTATCTGAAATATAAATATTTTATAGCATTGTTAATGTCTTTATCATCACTTTTGATCAGTTTAAAGCATCTTCTATTTATAGCATCTATAATTTCTTTCTTAAAAAATACATAAAATAAAATTACTCCAATCTTTTAGAGTATAATGTTACAAAAGCTTTTTTATTTCAGATAAATGCCACCAATTCTACATCACTGCCTGTTTAGCCCCGCCCACCTATTCTACATCACTGCATGTTAAGCCCCGCCTACCTATTCTACAGCACTGCCTGTTAAGCCCCGCCCCCCAATTCTACATCACTGCCTGTTTAGCCCCGCCCACCTATTCTACATCACTGCATGTTAAGCCCCGCCTACCTATTCTACAGCACTGCCTGTTAAGCCCCGCCTACCTATTCTACAGCACTGCCTGTTTAGCCCCGCCCACCTATTCTACATCACTGCATGTTAAGCCCCGCCTATCTATTCTACAGCACTGCAGGTTTAGCCCCGCCCACCAATTGAAAGTTTAAACTAATATGGTTTAAAACGCATGATTTCAGCGAGATAAACATAATCAGAACCAAAACAGATGTTTTTAGCAGGTCCGAGCTGTAATGGCGCAGCTGTATTCTGGAAAAGGGGGCGGGGAGCAGCAGCTCATTTGCATTTAAAGTGACAGGCACAAAAAACAGCGTGTTTCTGCTTCCACTCAAAACAGGCAATTTCAAAATGATATAATAAATGATCTGTGGAGTATTTTGAGCTGAAACTTCACAGACACATTCTGGGGACACCAGAGACGTATATTGCATATTGTAAAAAGGGGCATAATATGTCTCCTTTAACGTGTCTTCATCGTATATAAGGAGTTCTGAAAAGCTCATGTCTGTCCATCAATCACAAGTCACACTGATGTTAGCTAAAGATGTTGAGTAAGAGCATCAAAGTCGGTGGATTTAAAGAAACGTCTGCACAGCCTTCCTACAGATCCATGGCTGAAGTTTGCTTTTAATGACGAGCATGAGCAGCTGAAAGATTAAGTTTTCATCTGTTCATTTCACAACAGACTGTATTGTGAATTATTCTCAACATGCTGCTGGTTATTCAAAACATCTTTTATTGAAAGATATGGCAGTGGCAAGCATTTTGTCCTTGGTTTGTAATAAACGTCAAACCAGTGTTTAACGCTATTCAGATGCTATTCTCATTGTTTGAGTGTTGCTAATAAAAGCAGCATATATACCTGCGTACATGCAGGGTCTTTTGTAAAACAAAAAGTAATCATAGTACTTTAATATTAAGCAATTAAGAAAGAGAATTTACATTTCCTTCAGCCTGAGGCGTATTCATTTCACTTTTGGTGTGAAAGGGCTTTTACATTTGTAAAATAACTTTTTATATTAAAAACAAACAAGCAAGCCCTGTCCAGATTTAAAAAGTAACTCAAAAGTAACGCAATGCATTGCTTTCCATAAAAAGTAACCAAGTAATGCAATTGGTTACTTTTTTAGGGAGTAATGTAAATATTGCTTTTAAAAGTAACACTGATCATGATGGATGTAAAGGGGGCGTGGCTTCGCTGTGATGAAGTCAGCCAATCACAGCAGAGGGCATTTGCTTCCGTTTCTGCAGGAGGAAACGCCTCTTGAAATAAAGTGCTTTCACAAAGAGCAAAAATTAGGATAAAAGATGATCATTTTTACAAAACCTTGTTTTTGTGTGAAAAAAAAAAACTTCGAGAAACATAATATAGAAATCTGAAACTGCATTTCATGACCCCTTTAATGTTTTAGCTTTGTTCCTCATGAGCTGACTAGGTGATGAGGTGAGAGAAATATGAATTGTTTCATTCAATACTGGAAAGTATGAAAACATATAATTATGTTTTATCTAATATATGTGACCCTGCAGCACAAAAGCAGTCTTAAATCGTATTTTTGTAGCAATAGCCAACAATACATTGTATGGCTCAAAATTATACATTTTTCTTTTATGCCAAAAATCATTAGGATATTAAGTAAAGATCATGTTCCATGAAGATATTTTGTAAATTTCCTATCACAAATATATCAAAACTTAATGTTTGATTAGTAATATGCATTGCTAAGAACTTCATTTGGACAACTTTAAAGATGATTTTCTCAATATTTAGATTGTTTTGCACCCTCAGATTCCAGATTTTCAAATAGTTGTATCTCAGCCAAATATTGTCCTATCCTAACAAACCATACATCAATGGAAAGTTAATTTATTCAGCTTTCAGATGATGTATACATCTCAATTTCGAGAAATTGACCCTTATGACTGCTTTTGTGCTCCAGGGTCACATATGTGTTTGATGCATTTTTATGCACTAGCTTAACAACATGTTGTTGTCAAACTCTTTTTGTGTGCTTCACATGACACAGATCTGATGTCTGTGCAGAACTTGCTGCAGATTTTAGGTGTTAGTCGAGTTGTCTGAAATGAGCTTCATCTGTGCACACAATGGGCCTCATTCATCAAACACGAGCAGAGCGAATTTTGTGTAAATCATTTGTAAAGCCGTTCTGACATAAACTTACGAATTCATGAAAATGTTTGTATTAAATATTACTGGTTACTGCTTTTTTAGATTTAGTACAGTTCTTAGAAATGAGATACTAGTAATACGTTGCTGCCATGGATATTACAAATCATAGCAACTAAAGTGTCTCAGCTGGAAACCACCAAAGTGTTCTCAAGCGCCACCAGCTGGTCGTTTTCAGAAGAGCGCCTGACATTATTTCAGCTGGCTAAAAACTCTTTGGTGGACACATGTTATTGAATATTTATTGTTAGGCATATGGTCTATTAGTCTTTTTTGCATTTATGCAATATACTGAAGCCAAACCTGAGAAAGTAGACCAGAATATTCCACTGCGTTCCTGGACACGCAATTTGCGTAGCTGTAATTATAGATGGGGATTATGCTAATTGTGAATGAGTGTGCACGAGTGCCATATTTACGAATGATTGGAATGCGCATGTTTAACTATCAAATCTGAAGTTTACGAAGCGTTTGTGAATCCGGAGGAGAGTTTTGGGGAAGGTCTGTTTATGCACTAGTTTCATGAATGCGGCCCAGTGTTTCTCTTCAGACACAGGTGTGTCTGTCTCTGGGCTGTTGTGAGCGGTGTTCACGCGTCTCATGTGCTGTGTTTCAGGTGAACGCGTCTGATCTCCTTCACCTCGGGCCTTTCTGCACTGACCACTTTCTCTGAGCGCTTCAGACTACCCACAATCCTTCACTGAGCACCACTGAACCCATGCACAGACAGCATCGGCACATTACACAAGCTCGACATTATTTCCACTACAGTTAAACACATTTAAACCCCGCATTCTTGTTACTGTTATACAAAAAAAGAAAATTACAAATTGTATTTTATAATTTACTATTTTAGGTATCTCATTGTAGTATTTGTTTTACTAATATTTAATTGCCATTCAATACCAGCAGTGTAATTTATTACTACTTTAATAATGAAAGTGTGCCAAGATAAGATGATTTTAATCAGTGTATTATCGTAGTAGTGCATGGGTTAAATGTGTTTAATCATCTTGAAAATAATGTCCTAAAATAGGTTTTGTTTTCTTAAAGCGATAGTTCACCCAAACTATCCCGTCCCGAACCTGTATGAGTTCCTTTCTTCTGCTGAACAAAAAAGATATTTTGAAGAATGTTGGTAACCAACTTTACATTATATGGATTATATATATATATGAAGAGTTTATCTGCAAAAACGGATAATTTTTTTATTATGTTATCATGTTTTTATTGTATTAGTTAGCTGTATTTTTTAGTTATTGTGTAACCTAATCAAAATAACCCAACTGTAGTTTGATTGAGATTAATTGGAATGCACAACGAAAACACATGATTTTTTTTAAATGGTTAAAAACGGAGTTATCTGTTTTTGCAAATGAACTCTTCATATATAGAAATACATTTTGAAAAGGGCAAACTACTAAAACATAAGCTAAAATGAAAATATAAAAAATAAAAGAGAATTCAAAATATTAATAAATACTATAATAGTATATAAAAATACCATAATAAAACTGATCTGAAAGTGCAGAATTAGAACTCACTCACTCACTCACTCACTCACTCACTCACTCACTCACTCACTCACTCACTCACTCACTCACACACACACACAGACACACACACTCTCTCACACTCGCTCACTCACTCACACGCACACACAGACACACACGGACACACACGCGCACACACACACACGCACCCATACACACAGACAGACACACACTCACACAGACACAGACACACACACACCCATACACACACCCATACACACACACACACACACACAGTATATATACACTATGAAAGTAAATGGCTACAGTCAACTATTTGGTTACCATGTGTAATGTGCAGGCAGAGGTGTGGATCTAGTTGCAGGGTTATTTAATAAATGGGACAAAACAGCAATCAAGAACACAAAGAGCGCATTACATAAAACAATGACTGACAAAAAAACAAAGAAAACAGGTTTGGAACAACTTTACTTTTTTTGAGTGTACTATACCTTGAATGCATTTTTTCTGTTGTCTCAGGGAAACATCATAAAAATCAATGAGCTCATTGAGCCTAGAAGCCCCTTCCAGTATTTG